ATTTGATCTTATGATCTGAAGCTTCTGTTATGAAGTGGAACTCAAACAGAAGGAACCCTGCAGAGTAGACAGTCCATCCATCCGTCCGTCCGTCCGTCCGTCCATCCGTCCATCCATCCATCCATCCATCCATCCATCCATCCATCCATCCTAACTCTGTAATTCTGTCGGACCTTTCAGCACCAATTAACAATGTGTATCTCGGGTCACCAACACTGACAGCCAACCCTTTGGAAACATCCACTATAGCAGCCTGATGGTCATTCTGAGCTTTGAAATGTATGTTGAAGTTACCAGAGTTGGGTTGTCCATGTTTTCCAGGCCGCGCTGACTCCCAGCCATCCACAGACTGAACCTCCAAAAGATATGAGCTTTTAGTTTCTCTATCAAACACAGCCTGCGAGTAGATGAAGCCAAGCTCTGAGTCGATCCTGAAGAACTGATGATCCCCGCTGCGGTCCTCCAGCAGCGAGTAAGAAATCTAAAAGGAGAAAGGTGGAGAAAGACAGGCTTAAGCTTATGAGGTACCCATTTCTACACCTTCAGTTGATTCGGAGGTTCAACAGTGAAGTGTTGTTTAATGGCAGACTGTGACGAGGTTTACCTTCCCATTTAGGCCTAGGTCCATATCATTGGCTGATACCTGGAAAACCAATGTTCCTGACTCTGCTCCTTCAGTCACCGAGGCCTCATAGATTGACGAGGTGAAGAATGGCACATTGTCATTAACATCTAAAGGGTAGAAAGAAGAAATAGATACATTCTTGTTAAAGTCGGTACGACCTAAGAGTTAAGACCTCTTTAAATGGGTCATAGAATGCAAAACCGAATTTACATTTTCATAGATGAATAACGATTGTTCAGTGGGTGAAATGGACGTACAGAAAAGTTCAAACCCCATGGACACCTCCTTTCTCTGCAAATCTTCTACCATAAAACGGGCGAATCCAAACAAAGCACCGAATTGACGTCAATTCGGAAATGTTGCCTTATTTGGTTCTGGCTTGTACTTTTGTCAAGCCCGAAATTGACACACGGACCAGCCCACTGGTTCACTATTGTAAATGCAGCGTTCCAGGCTGCATGGAGAAAGGGGAAAAATTTCACAGTCCTCCCAAGGATCCAAAAACTCGACAGGCAGGGATTATTTTTGTCTATCTGAAAATCTCTGCAAAGGTTGACGCTCAGCTGTTTATTTGTTCTAAGAATTTTACCGAAGACAGCTTTCAAAATCTATGATGCATCTTTGCTCAGGAGCTTCGCTCGTTGTAAACCAACCAATCAGCGTACAGCTCATCTAAATATTCATGATCATACCATTTCATTCTAGGGCTTATAACCAGACTTGCATTAGGGCTCGTAGAACAGCAAATATGCCATTTTCAGCCCAACCAATGTTACACACCCTATTCAGAGACCTTAAGGACCAGCACCCAATACCCTATAGAATCATTCTATGACCACTTTAAGGGGAATTCTGACCCATAATCACTGATATGGTCAATATTAAAAGAGAAAATAAATGTAAAATAAAATTTTCAAGGCTTCGCTCCTTAAATGTATGTCCATGGTCTTGTTTTTTTTTGGCTAGATAGTTTTAAAAAAAATTACCCACAGTCAGTGTAGGTACCAGTTCTACTAGGGCCCTCCGCACACAAGTAAGGTTTGTGTCAACAACAACCGTTTGTTTTCTACAACTAGAACAACTGTTTATTTGTCTAAAATCTCGACGTAAGTCATTTATCAAATCATCCCATTTGTCCTCCTCTGCCTTCAGATCTTAATAAAAAGAATAAAAATAAGCTGAGACTTTTTGTGTCAACTTGTTAAATGGCAGAGCGCAATCTTAGAACGCAGTACGTTCCTTCAAGACTTATAATTATTGTTTTCTACTTTTGGCTACTTTAGATCGTCAATAAAATGTAAAATATTAGCAAATATTGGTAATAATATGTCAAGACTCCAAAAGAGATTTTATTCTTAGGAAACGGTTGCAATACAGTTTGTCCGAGTGGAGTTGCCATATATTGGCATCCTAAGATGGGGCGTGGCCCCAATCAGATCTGGTACCTACAGCGTCCTTTGTTTTAAGTAATAGAAGTCAGAGCATTAAGCTAAAACCTGAGTTATATGAGACAAATAAGATGCTTGGAACAAGAGAGGAGATTTTCTCAAGCAGTAAAAGTCCAATTTTAACAAAGCTGATTTATGTCCCAAAGCATTAAAGGTTGTTCTGAAAAGTGCCACACTTTAAATCCACTGCTGCTTCACAGCCGCTTTTCCTCCCGTGTCTTTTGAGGAAATGTCTTAATCTTTGAATAAAAAATTGGGTCTTAAATCCATTACACACCTCCCTCCTCTCCCCAGAATAACTGCCTCTGGAGAAGTCAAAGAGCTTTCTTATTAAGACAGATAAAGGCGAGGGGGAGGGTTAAGAGAGAAATAGAAGTTAGAAGAGGGACAGTAAGGGAAGAAGGAGTCTGTGAGAGTTAATTATTTCTTACTGGATAAAGCACAGATGTGACAGGACCGGTATGTGAATGTGTGTTGGCTGTAGAGGAACACAGGAAGGCTAAGGGCGATCTACAGGAGTTATGGAGTTAGGATGAACATTAAGACACCAGACTTCATTCAGATTTACTAGATATTTTAAAGACCAAACGATAAAGATGAGAATAAATGAACCAATATGCACTCAGGAAATGGAGATTGAGCACCACTGTCCATGGAGCTCTCTTAGAGCATAAGATGAAGAGCGCTGAGATGCTCAGATGGTTGTGGTTATAATCCTCTCAGATCTGCTGCAACTCGTACGTCAATTTAAGATTCCCCCTGCATAAGGTTAAAATGATATGTGTCTGTGCCCCACAGTGATAAACTATATTTTCTTTCCAAGTTTGAAGACATTTCTCTTCCCATCCAGGAAGCTTTTTCAATTCAAAATGTCAAAAATTAGTGTGGAGTTCCAGGCTTTATACAGTAGCCCAACAAAATCTTGCTTTTGTTCAGAAAACTTGCAAATTGAAACAGACGAACGGGTCCACCCCTTAGGATTGGGGGTCGTTGGCAGTGTTGGGAAAGTTCTCTTTCTATGTGAA